TTGATTACACTTCCTTATTTAAATCATTTAATGTGTTTTCAGATGATGTTTCAGGGCCATACTCATGTTCAAGTGTAGTTGTTGAAGATGATGAGGAAGAAGTTATCATTGGATCATACAAACCATTTGTGGTGATTCCTGAATCTCCTACAATGGATGCAGCTACACCAAGTACACCTCCTTCCTTACCAGTCCGAAAGTCTATTTTCGACACCGAAGCCACTCCCTTTACTCCCGAAGAAGATGACATTCTCTTAAGGGACAATGTAACTGCCACACAAACTTTCATGGAATTTTTCTTTCCAGAGTCGTTCGCAAATGAATTTACGGCAAGTACTTCTCATGATTACAGAACGCCTAAAGGGCGTGATTCAACAGTGGGCAGATCTGAAAACATCACAAATCTTCCAGTCATAGTTAATGATATCAGCCATCTAATCCCAACCAGTGTTCAACACAGTCATCCTATCCAATACATTATTGGTTCACTAGAAAGTGGGGTTCAGACCAGAAGTCAAACTGGATATGTCAATGAGTGTCTTTACTCGTGCCTCATATCCCAAATAGAACAAAAGATTGCGTACATGGCTCTAAATGAACTGAGATGGGTGTATGCAATGCATGAAGAGTTGAATCAGTTCGAGAAGTTGAAAGTATGGCAGTTGCTAGAGCTACCGAAGGGCAAGAAGTCTTTGGATACATGTTGGGTGTTCAGAAATAAGCAAGATGATAGCAGGGTGATTGTGTGCAATAAAGCTTGTTTGGTCATTCGTGGATTCAGGAAAATAGAGGGTCTTGACTACACCAAACTGTATGTTCATGTGGCGCATTTAGAAGCTATTCGTATATTCCTAGCATACGCTTCCCACATGGGGTTTACAGTTTATCAGATGGATGTCAATACAACCTTTTTATACGGAGTCGTGAAGGAGGAGATGTATATTGATCAACCACCAAGGTTTTTCAATCCAAAGTTTTCAAATCATGTCTTCAAACTGGACAAGGCTCTATATTGTTTGCATCAGGATCCTAGAGCTTGGTATGATACCTTAACTGATCATCTGTTGGAGCACGGGTACACAAGGGGAGCGATCGATCAGAAGTTATTCATCAAGAAAAGTGGATGCATATTTAATTGTCGTCCAAATCTACATAGACGATTCATTTTTAGGTAGACCAACACAACACTATGGAAAGAGTTCGAGAAAGTAATGAAGAAAAGATTTGAGATGAGCTCGTTGGATGAAATGACAATGTTTTTAGGGTTACAAGTTCGACAGGATTCATTCGAAATTTTACTACATCAAGGAAAATATGTGGAAGACATGCTAGAAAATTTCGGGTTCAAAGATTCAAAAATTGCTTCCACTCCAATGTCAGAAACACCACTGTTGACACCAGATCCAGAAGGAGAATCCGTAGATCAAACTGAATATCAATTGATGATTGGATCTCTGATGTATCTGACTGCCAGCAGACTTGGCATTATGTTTGTCATCTATCAATGTGCTCCTTATCAGGCTAATTCTAAACTTTCCCATTTAATTGCTGTTAAAAGGATTTTTAGGTACCTTAAAGGTACCCTAAATTAGGTCTTTGGTATCCTAAAAATCCCGAATTTGATTTATATGCTTTTGCTAACAACAACTATGGAGGTTGTGATTTTGACAGGAAATCTACATCGGGTGGATGTCAGTTATTAGGGGACCGACTGGTGTCATGGCAATGCAAGAAAAAGCAAACGGTGTCAACCTCGATGATTGAGTCTGAATACGTTACCGCCTCAGCCTGCTGCTCTCAGGTTATCTCGATTCAATATCAATTTTTGGATTACAGTTTGAATTTTCTTGACACCTCCATTTTCTATGATAATGATGCGGCCATTCAAATTGCCAAAAATCCCGTTCAACATTCAAAAACTAAGCACATTGACATTAAAGTTCATTTTATTCGAGACTGTTATAAGCGTAAGCTCATTTGTTTGGAACAACTACACACAGAAAAATAATGTGACCAATTTGTTCACAAAACCTTTCAGTAAGGCTTGTTTCAATTTGCTTGTGGGTTTTCTGAAAATGATTCGTTTCAAAGACTAACTTTTTATATTTTTTTGTTTGTTTAAATTTGCACATTTATTTTATTTCCTTTCTTCCCTATGCACAAATTTAGGGGGAGAAATCAAAAATAAAAATATATAAAATCAAAAATTACAAAAATAATTATAAAATAAAAAAATCCAAAAGATGTCTTCTTGCGTAAGTGTTCTTGGGAAGTGATATGAAATTTAGTGTTAAAGGGCAATATGAAATACGTTTAATGCACTGAAGTTGAATTGTTTAGACTCTGTGTTCAATGTGTTGGTAGGCACGAAGGATTCAAAATGAAAGGACTAGAAACTATTGAAAACGAAAGGACTTGACAGTGTTAACTCATCTGGACTTAGATAGTTACATTTGGACTAACCATACGACGCTCAAATAGATTAAGCAGTGAGATAAACAAAGGAGCTTGCGAAATACATTAAAGTTGCTTATCATCTAGAACTGTGGCTCAGCACTTCTTCGATGTATGGACTTATATCCTTAATTCTAGTGTTGATAGGGTGACTGGGGGGGGGGTGTCTGATAAAGTAGGTCTGTATGAAATTGTTTTTCTTTATGATCTTTTATCATAGTTATAGTTGTCCCATTTGCATGATTGCAAGAGATCTAACCTGAACGCAACATATGCATCTCTCTGTCTGTCTATGTTAGTCATATGATGTCCCCTCTGCATGATTGGAAGAGATCTGACCTGGGACATAGCATATACACCTTTCTATCTCTCTATCCCTCTTTCTATGTTAGTCATATGGTGTCCCCTCTACGTGATTGGAAGAGATCCGACCTAGGACATAGCATATACACCTTTCTATCTCTCTATCCCTCTATCTATGTTAGTCATATGTTTTCCCCTCTATGTGATTGGAAGAGATCCGACCTGGGACACAACATATGCACCTTTCTATCTCTCTATCCCTCTATCTATGTTAGTCATATGTTGTCACTTTGCGTGATTGGAAGAGATCTGACTTGGGATACAACATATGCATATCTATATCTATCTTCTCTCTCAAATAATTGAACACTCACCTAAAGTAAGGAGCTCTTTGGAATTCCTTGATTGCTAGGGTATGTCGTGAAGTGGGGAACATGCTAAATTGAATTGGTTCATGACTAAAGGTTGACTGTAGATCTCACTGTTGAATTTAAGTAAACAATAATATCATTGGTCGTCGTCAGCAAAATGCTATATTTAGGAATATAATCACAATGTCTTGTCACTTATAATCTGTCCGACTTGCAAATATAATTTGTGTTTAAGTGGACCGCAATATTGGTGATTGACCAGAGCTATCCATCCAGGTGTGTACTGACTAACGATATTAAATTGCTTGACAACTTTGATCCCAAAGGATTTAAATTTACTTATTAAAATGTGTTTGTTTTATTTTATTTTATTTTTGTTTCTAAAAATTTTATTTTTATTTTATTTTGCATTCATTTCAAATTTTAAAATTTCGTTTTACTATATTTCCATTTTTAATCTAAGAAATGAATTATCGAAATCAATTTTAAATGTTTTGTTAAATGGATTTTCATTTGGGGCCCACCGAATTTGGTGGCCCAAGGGCCGAGAACCCATATTAGTGTCTAATATGGGGTTTTCTGTTTCAATTTCATTACCATCGCCGAATCACTTCTTTTCTATCAAAACGTAAGTGAAAACCTCTTTAGCTCACTGTTCATCTCTTAATCTTCATTCTCGACTCAAATCACCAAAATTTTCTCTGACTCTTTGCAATTTTGACTACGTATGTGGATTTCAAGTAGCATGCTTCAGTTTTTATGTCCTTTCTTGGAGTTTTTGCAGGTTTTCAAAGGGTTTCCGACGAGGTTAACAGTTGGTTTTCCGGCGAAATTATTGAGGGTTTCAAAATTTGAAACGTCGGGTTTTCGGTTTGACCTGGATCCGACCAAAAATAGCTTAATCTGACCGAAAACGTCCTTCTTTGACTGAAATCTCAAGTTTGATCAAAATCACTGTTTTGACCAAAATCAACATTTTTTATCAAAATTTAAATTTTGAGAAAATAAAATTTTAATTTTAATTTTTATTGTTTTAACTTGGCTCGTTTGGTGCAGATAAATGGCACATCAGTTGAAGTTTGTTGATTCTCATAATATCGTTGGATATCTCATGGATCTACCTGCCATGCACAATGAATTCAAATCCATGATCGTGGGTTTGAACAATTGTAGAATTTCCAACGCTCTACGTGTCAAACCAGTCATACGCAAGGACCTAATTAATGATTTCTGGAGGAATGCATCGTTCAACTGTGCATGAGCGAATGATGCTGGTGCTATTGAATCCTATGTGAAAGGCAAGCAAATTATTATTATAAAGCAAGTTATTTGGGAAGTGCTTCCGTTCGGAGATCAGCCTGCTTTCCCAACAGAACTCTCTGCTGCCAAGATCACAGAAGTATTAAAGAAGATGAACTACGAAGGAATTTTTCCTCCAACAGTCAAGAAGCTACTTGCCCCTTACTGGAGATTTTTGGCCCATACTTTTGTTAGCTGCATATCTAGAAGAAAGGGCGGGTCGGATGAGATAAGCCAAACAACAACATCAGCCTTTGTAGCGCTAACAATGGACTGGGAGTACAATTTCTCAAAATTTGTTTTTAACGAAATGAGGAGCAACGTTTCTGGGAAAAGAAGGATCTTTTCTTCATGTATCCTCAGTTTTTGCAAATGATCTTTGATTCCATGCATCCCGAGCTAAAAAGGACCCCTAGTACTCTTGATGTCAAATCCCTGGGTCCAAACACCTTTCGACTCAAGAAACAAGTACAGAAAGCGTCAAAGGTTGTTTTCAAGGGAACAAAAGCACTGGTGAAATTTGGATATTTTGCAGAGACAAAAGATATTTAAACTGCTGGCGCTCCAATTGATATGGTGGCCGAAGAACATGTGGCGCCATCAAAATCAAATCTCAATTTTTCGTTTGAGGTTTCTGATGATGTTAATGATGATGATGATGATGATGATGATGATGTTAATGATGATGATAATGATGATGATTATGATGATGATGATGATGATGATGATGTTAATGATGATGATAATGATGATGATTATGATGATGATGATGTTGATGAGGATGTTCGTGTGTTTAAACCATCGAAGGAGCCAGTCAATGGGGTTGTGATTTCTCCAACTGAGACATATATAGAAATCAACATTTTCAAGCAACCAAACGATCCAACGCCCAAACAGATGGAAGCCTTTATCGAAAAAATTACAGTCAACTACGAGGAAGCCTCCCCAAGCAGTTCCTGTTACTACTAAGTCTCCATCTGGGAGTGATAAAGAAAATTCAAATGCCTCCATGGTGCCAAGAAAGCAAAGTCGTAGAGATCCAAGGCCGGGAGAGCTTATTACTGTACCAGTACAACAACCAACTTCAAATGTTGAACCAGCCCAGGTTAATCAAGATGATCAAAGCCCAATTTTTGGTGAAGACTTCTTAGCTAATGAGGAAACTTTTGCCTCGGGAAGTTTTCTACCCCACCTCCTCCAGAGCACGATTTTGCATCTGTCAAGCTATCCAAGCTAGTTGCTTTTCAAGACTTTATTCCTTAGTCAAGAGGAAAGGGAATATCAATTGGCTCCGGGCAACAAGGTGATGAAGACCCTCAATAAACCATTTATGAGCTGAAACAAGAGATCGTAAGTTTAAAGCAGGAGTCCATTGAGAAGGAATTTCTGATTAGCAATTTGGATGTGAGAGTATTTGAGCTTGAAAAGGAAAATTCTCAAAAGAGTAAGAAAATCTCAGACCTTCAAGCCAATATTGGCGGACTGACAGCTCTTTGTTTTGATCTTAAAGACAAATAAATTGGAAAATTTGGTGATGAGTTCAAGACTTCAGGTTCTGATGATGGAAAAGCTTCAGAGACATCTGAGGATTCATCGTTTGTCCTGCCCCAGATTCTAACCTTGATCAATTTTTGTCTTATAACCCCGTCACAACTAAAGAAAGAAAGGAGAAGCAAAGAAAACTTGATAAGCTGTATGTAACAACATAAATTTTCAAACCAAAATTTTCATTTTTAAAACACATAAAACTCATATATTATATTTCATAAAAACCATAAGTGTCTCAAATGTCAACAGAAATCCACAAACAAAAGTCAAATCCTTGAATCCTTAACATAATCTCGAACAACTATGTACAATCATGCCGATGCCTTCCCACGGTCCTGAGAAGTACCTGAAACACATAACACATAACACGGTAAGCACGAAGCTTAGTGAGTTCCCCCAAAATACCACATACACATATAACAAGCCTCTAATGGCTATAACTCAGCATAGACCTTCCGGTCTCATGCATCTTCGTGTGGACCCTCCGGTCATGTGTCTCGGTGAGGACCCTCCGATCATGTCTCGGTGGAAACCCTCCATTACTACAACTCGGTTTGGACCCTCCAGTCCTATCTCAGTAAACACATAATATAGAATACATATCACATAGACAAAATGCATAATTTCACATAACTCAAGTAAGCACATAAGACCCTCCAGTCATACATAGATACCACTCATGGTAAGTATAGTGAGAAGACTCACCCCGTAAGCAAGCACGTAATAACCTCATACACGAATCACGAACTAGCCTCAGCCTAACACATATGATAATTATCTCTAATTACCACTTGATATGTGTATTTTTAGATATATTTTTATGCACTTTATCTTAATATTTTGGCCTTATTTATTCTATTTTAGAACTAAAGAGTACTCATAATACTTTGAATTATGTTTTGCAGCTATTTGTCGTCAATAAAGCACAAAAGAAAAGACTGAAGCGGAAACCGGGCTTAGAAGCTAAAAGAAAGAAAAGGGTGCTGAGGTCGCGAGTACGCCCCGCGTACCTTAAGAGTACGCCCCGCGTACTTGCTTGCACCGGATATACATGATCGCGTGATTATCCATAGTACGCGCCGCGTAATCCATAGTACGCCCAGCGTACTTAGGTCGGCCACAAAGATTATAAATGTCGATTTTTAGCTAACCAGGAGGGGGGATTCGACTTCTAACCTAATTTAGTCGACAATTAACTTCTGTTAAGCCGTTTTGAGGGTCTAGAAGGCGGCCGGAAGGCCGTTAAGCTAACGGGAGCAGAGATCTGAAGGATTGGAGAGCAGATACATGTCGGTAATCATATGGATTGCTAACGTGACCATGTTTAGCACTTCCTTATGGTACTTTCTGTATTTAGTTTCTGATTTGGGTGTAAAAACCTTTTACTTTGTGTTTATGATTGAATGAAGTTTTGATTCTTAGACTAATTGTTATGTCAAATAATTTATTTGTGTTTAATTTATCTTGCCAAGCTTGTTCAAAGATCCTCATGTGTTAATGATGATTATTTGCTGTTAATTGTTAAGTGAATTAAGTTGTATGAAAACCTGCTTGATTTGCTTGTCTCTTATGATTTTTGATGACCATTGAGATTATAAGACTAGAAATAACGAATGTGAAACTAGGATTAACATGGGAATAAATAAGTTAATGTGTGAGCCTTGTTTGATGACCATCAACAAGAGGTTAATTAAATGTTTAAATTAACTAAGTTTACAAGTCTTGCTTGATACGAACTGAACACTGGGAAGCATGTTAGTTTAATCAATTGATCACTATTTGAATTAACTTGTTTGCTAAAGGATTAGTTATAGTGAACATGAATCTAATCAATTTAGGAATCGGTGAACATGAATAAATGAATTTGTGTATGCAATTGTTTATGTTTTCAAGGTGGAATTTGTCTAAACCAAAGTACCTAAAGAGATTTGTTTTTCCTGTTAGTTTATCGAGAATGGTTAATTAATCGTTAGTTTGAGATTTATTTCTTTATTCTTTTCGTGCAACCTGTAACCTATAATCAAATATATTAAATTAATCCACCGTTCCCTGTGATCGACACCCGACTTACCTAAGCTATACTGTAATCTGACTAGGTACACTGCCTATAAGTGCATAGTTAGTCTAAGTTTGTTAGGTTATAAATATTAAAATTAATGGGTACTTTCGTGCACATCAAGTTTTTGGCGCCGCTGCCGGGGAACGGCTTGTCAGTAATTTATTTTATTTGATTATTCGTTATTTGTTTTTAGTTAGTTCTCAATTTTTTAGTTTGATTTTCGATGATATCTTTTCACTTGTCGGGAAGGTTCTTGTTTTTATTTTGCAGGAATTCGGGATTGTACACATTGCTTGACTTTACTTTTTGCATGGGTTTCGAGAATGAAAGCGATTAGGGAATTCTTGACCTGCTTAGCCTACTACTTTGTTGATTTTTCCAACTCGATCCATGAGGCGTAGTATAGCAAGGCGCATTGTGGTGGTTAAGTGGAAGACCGAGCTCTTGTTGTTCTTGACTAGTTAGGTCACTTCTTGTTCCGCTTCTAGTTAATGGTGCAAGGAAAACAAAGGAAATATTCTAACGGGTCCTGAAAGTGGGTGTTTTCGCAAACCAATTCTTGCATGCAAAGGTTTTTGATCAACTATTGTTGTTTGATCTTGACAAAGATAAGTGATTATGACATCTCAAATTTTTTTTATCACTCATCGCGAAGTCATCATTAGCTTAAGAAATTAAAAAGGAAAAATTAAATAAGTTTTAAGTTCCTAGATGAAATGATTAAAAAGAAAAGGAAATTCAATTAAAAGAAGAAAGTTAAATTTCATTACGCCCCGCGTATGTTTACGTACGCCATGCGTAATATGCCCCGGATCGCGAATGAACATTTCAGGGGGTTGAGGTACGCCCCGCGTACTCTTGAGTACGCCCCGCGTAACACGGCGACCAGGTATATCTTTTGACCCGTTGACTTCTTCTTTATTCTTTTCCCTCTTCTCCTTTCTCGCAAGAACTGTGACGACAGCTTCTCTCAAGATTCTCGATTCTCTCTCGTTTCTTGTTAAATCCACCACACAAGTAAGTATTTCGGATACTCAATAGCTTGGATTTGTGTTTAATTCAAAGGAATAAGCTGCATTTAGCTTTTGCTTGAAATCTAGGGTTTATATATTTTTCGAATTAGGGCCGATTTTGCAAATGTATGTGTTGATTAGGGCTTGAATGAACCGATTTCGGTTAATACATTAAACCCTCGAGCTTAATTTCGTCTTAATTCCGTCCCACGTTTACCGATTCGAGCTTAGGGTCGTACGCCAAGTGTACCCCTGTGACTTCGAGTTCTTGACTCTGGCTTCAATTTTTGACCGTTATGCATGTTTCCCTTATAAATGTTTTCAAATAGATAAAGAATTTATAGAGATTGATTCATATTTTTAGGGAGGTCCCGAGTTCTTTCCTACGATCTTGTTGACCAAGCAATGTTTAAAAATAAATAAATAAATAAATAAATTGACTGCGCTGATGCCCTTGCTGCGTTATTTGGATATGGTTTATGAGATGGGAATAAGAAAACAAACAGGGTCAGTTTCATGTGCCTGGACGTCCGCCCCACATAAATTCCATGTCCAAGGATCAATTTTCTTGGTTTAAAAATTATTAATGATGTGATATTTCGTTTGGTTTTGGGTTTTGTGTTAATATGTGCAGATTATGGCTCGAAGGGCACAAAGAACCAACCCTCCCAAGGATGTGACCGATCATCGCTTTTTACAATTTCCGCAAACACTGAGCGATGCTACCAGGGCGCGTTATAGCACCAACTTGAGCCTGCTTCTCACAAAGGAGATTGATATTGCACCCTCTTTCGACTGGGAGTTGGCTACCAGGACTGGACTTGCTGCATTGATCCAGGAATTTTTGCAATACACACACTCGGACGCGAGTGGGGTGGAATTGTTTGTGTGTCAGGGATGGGCGCGTTTGTTCAGGATCCAGGAGCCGGTATATCGGGAGTTTTTGCTGGAGTTCTATGCTACAGTTTCCTATGATCCTAGGAAGTCACTCAATGACAGGACAGCCTTTGTTTTCAGACTGGGAGGAGTGAGCCGGGAATGCAGCGTGATAGAGCTTGCTACTCGGGTGGGTATTTACACAGCCGATGAGACAAGGAGTGTCCACTTCCCTACTTTTCTTGCTGACTGTCTCACGGAGCGGCCGGAGGACTACAATGAGAACACTTTTTGGGTCGAGATTACGGGAGGAATTTATACACCATCTACCGCTCGAGGGGGGATGATTCGGTCTACTACATACCGAATGTTGCACCGGTTGATTTCTATGTCTCTCACGCATCACAAGAATAGCGAGAGAGTGCCTTCGACGGACCTGTATTTCCTATGGGCACTAGTTACTCCAGGGAGGCACCTGAACCTTCCAGTTGCTTTAGCTGCATACTTGGGACGGAGGGCCAGGGGACTTCGTGGAGATAGCCCGATATGCGGAGGGCATTTTATCACACGATTAGCTCGATCATATCAGTTGATGACACGTGAGATCACGAGATCGATGGTGTTTCACGACATGAGGCCGATGAGTCTTCAGCTATTGGAGTCGATGCGCGTATTAGAGCGGGGCGGAGATGGTGTTTTGAGGGTTCGAGCAGATGATGTGGCGGATGAGGAGGGTGCCGC